ATTTCCCTCTAACTTCTCTCAGCACGGGCGATTCCTGATCTTCCCTTCGTAGCTGGTGGACAGTTTGCCTGAAGACTTTTCCGATCGGTAGTCAGAGTGAAGTTTCCTTCTGAGCAGTGTCCTAACATTTGTACTTTTTCTGCCTATGTTGCGGTTTTCCGAGCCATGCTGTGTCGAATACGTCGTAAGACAGCTCAGACTTGTTCGCAATTTAACTCAGATGAGGCGCGTTCTTTTTGACGGCGTGCTGAAGTTCTTATCTCCATTAAGACGCTCTTTACCTTGTAGCTCATTTGTCAGTTCAAGACTGAGGGCACAAAAAGTCAATCTGGAAATTTTGGTATCAGCAACCTGCTCGATTTTTGCCCTGATGATGTTCTACCGGTTTGATGGCAAAACGTACTGGCAATGTAATTTTTACAGTCAGCTTTGGACCTCAACTATGAATCGACCAGTGAGCTACAATTCCAGTTACGACCCCGGAGTCGAACACCTTCAGTCATACTTTTTGCTTTAGGCTTCAGACTGCCCTCCAAAATCCAATCCCTGTTATTCACGTAGTGAAGGCAGTCAACGGCAAGAGTATCAGACTGCATGCGGTACCGAAGTACGGTGAGCTGTATTTTTCTCATCCTGCTACCCTAACTGTTAAGGTCTGTCTTGAGACTCGAACCATCGACTAACAACTGTGGTAACCAAGATTTTTATATTTTTAGGGCAAGTTTGTCTGCAAGGATAACGTTGCGTCTAATCCATGCACAGAGAATACTCACTCACTTGGAATGCATGTCTCCGAATTGAAAGCGATTGAGTTTAACAGTAGATTTTAAACTTTTAAAATTTTTTCAGTTATGCTATAGTAAGGGTTGTTTTTCGAGTTCTGTTTTAGACAGTCCTACTTTTACTTACAAAGTTCATTAAGGCAGTCACTGAGAATATTTCCATTTTTTATTTTTTTTTGATAGTTCTTGTTGCAAAGAACAGCAGATTTTTTATGTTGTTGAGGACTTCCTGAATTTTGTTGCAAATGAAATTGAATTAGTTTTTATTTCAGGCTGTTTGTCTCTAAGCTTTAGATAGCAGTGACCAGTTTCGTATGGTTTTTGTTTCTTAATTCAATGAAGTTCATCGAGCTGGTATCCAAGTTACCTCGCATCTCCGTTTCCATGATGTTTGCGTATGGCTCTGGTGTTGTTCACCAAACTGGAGAAATCATGAGCAAAAATATGATTGATTTCATTGTGGCCGTCGATGATCCACTTGCATGGCATAAGGAAAATCTTCGACGCAATTCGGCACATTATTCTTTCATGAAAGTTTTTGGACCTAGCTATATTTCGAAGTTTCAAACTCGTTACGCTGCCAAACTTTACTGCAATACGATGGTGAACGTTAATGGTCACCTGATAAAATACAGTGTCATATCTACTGCAGACCTAATATCGGATCTGTTACACTGGGAAACGCTTTACGTTAGTGGTCGACTGCATAAACCTGTATATTTTATGGTTCCTGTTCAAGGATCACACATGGAAAAGGCATGCGAAGTAAATATCCAAAACGCCTGTCATGCTGCCTTGTTGCTGCTTCCTGAAAGTTTCTCGTTTGAAGATTTTTGTATCAAAGTTTCATCCCTGTCGTACATGGGAGATTTTCGTATGATAATTGGTGAAAATAAGTCAAAAATACACAACATTGTCAAGCCAAACATTGATCGTTTCGCTGAAATTTATTTGCCAGTGCTCGATCAGATTTCTGCTCAAGTTTATTTGGATCGTAGTCATTTCAGCTTTAAGCAAGATTTGTCACCAGTATCTATATATCATCATATGGAACTTTTGCCGAAGCAGGTTTTGTTGCATCTGCAAGCTGAATGCAACAAAGATGGGCGTAACAGAGATCTAGAAGAAGTGAGTTTTGTCCTATCGAAGGACTTTGAGTATATGTCAGTTATAAGGAAGGCACTATGTTATATTGTAGTTCGTTCTAGTTTAAGTCAAACTTTCAAAAACATTTTTTCAGCCGGCATTGTCAAGACAGTGTCGTACTCATTTCGTAAAATGAAGAAAATGTTTACTGGTCCAAATGACTCTGTGAATCGCTGAGCTTGGATTTATTTAGTTGATTTTATCGGCTGCTATCGAAGTCGGCTTTCTTGTGCTGATGTACTCTAGCGATCTGGATACTGAAGTTGCAGCCAGGCTAATTGATGAAGCTCGTTTAATAACAGCTTTAGTCAGCAAAAAATTGTATTTCGATTTATCCAAATCCATCACAATCGATACTGGGACGATCGAGGGGCTTAATTCAGTTTCTTACTTCACAGAAAGTTGGCGTGTTGCCAATTTTAAGGCAATTACTGATTTTACTGATTCATATTCATCTGATCTGTTGCTCAAAACATGACTGTTTGGCTTGAAAACATCAATTCTGATTTTTTTACCTAGTTTTGTCACTAGTTGTCTAAAAAGACGTTTTTGGAAAAAAAATTATTTAGCTCGTGGAGTATTTCTTTTGCCATTTCGCAGATGTATGCCTATCTGAAGTTTTACCGTTGTTTTCTGTTTGTTTCTAAAGAAAATATAATATTTATAATTCAAGAGGTTAACTTATACGCGGCGATCAATCCAACTTTTTAATGAGATTGAGTGACCTGGTTCAAAAAGCACAAATCGTTTTCGTTACAGTAACAGTGGCTATGCAGTAAAGGCTTTGAACTCCACTGTCTTCTGTCTGTTGAACAACAGATGACCCCCTCCGCTGACTGAACTTGGGATTACATGATATGCGTCATGCGACAGATTTCAGTTTTTTTGTGCATAGAATGCTCTGACGTAGTTCACGAAGAACACACTACGGTAACTTACGCGATGATCTGATGTCAGAATGTCGAATTAACTAGAACTGATTATTTATCACTTTTGAAGTTTGGGCTATTTTGGTATCCAAATCTATAATTATTTGTAGCTGGTTTCAAAGACTACAACCGCTTACGGCGGGATGCATGAACATCTGGTGGGAACCGTTGCTTGATTTGATAGAAAGGTTGTAAAAGCGAATGGAAACGTGTTCCATTTTTCTTACAGAAGGAATCGGCCACTGGCCGAAGATGGTTTGAAGGGCAGTACCAAATCTGGAAGATCTCGTAG